GATCATATCGGTTGGTTGTAAACAATTGGTAAACAGAATTGACTGAAGATGATTCAGTGCACCACAGAGGGGTAAACATGCAGGCTGGGCAGTTATCTCAACGGATCAAAGAACCCAATCCACGCTGGCTCACACAGGGTGAGAGTGGAGGTGTGTCAAGGTCGATCGTTGCTCATCTGTTAGAGACGGGACATTTGGTTGACATGCACTCGACATTTACAATCATCTATCGAGTCTCACCACACCCCTCAAGATCAATACGGTTTCGAACGTGAGCAACCGCCGAGGCGATTAACATCCGACTCATGAAGCCTGAGCTGTGCGCACAACGCTAACTGATTCAAGCTCGCAAACTCCCCTGGCCGAGGGAGGAGAAAAATTGGTTGTTCACACGACCATGACAAGATTACGTGATCCAAACAGCGCACAAATTTAGAGTTCTCTTTGGCTTGTTACCAAACACAGCGTATCCGTCTTTCTGTCAAACCCTATTGAAATTGTTTTCATATGAATGTGATTGTAAAGGCTTGAAAAGGAATTCACCGAAAACATGTTCACCTACATTGTGTGTTCTTATAAGTCAGAACTTGAGAGAAGTGTAAGATCAAACATGTGATAGCTCAGAAAGTCAAGACAAGAAACGTAGGGTGAATTTTCCTAAATTTACGATTTTTTACAGTGTATATATGAGGCCAAATGCGATCAATAAAAAGACATGACAAATTCTATACTGTAGTAAGTGAGGGGGAAAATCTAGTACGAGAGTTCTTCCTTGATTTGAGTGACAATAGTCTTACGGTTAACCAATCACCGAGCAAGGTATAGAATTCCACTTGTTTTTTGTATGTAGAAATACGCAAAGGAAGGAGTTGATATTTGGAGCGAGTTCGGGGATTCGACAGAGCTTTCACAATTTCTCGGTGCAGACAGAGCCCCCTGATAAAGGTATCATAAGCGTCAAGATACTTGGAAATAAAGAAATCAACCAAAACAATTCCAATGTAGCGGGATAAAGATTTACGGATCTAGAAAATCAAGTGAAGTCTTTCTCTTCAGACCAAGGATAAGTATCGAAGGGGCAGTATGTAGCCAGTGTGGAGGGATGCAGGCAATCACAAATTCAAGAATAAGATTGTGTGGTACGGCCAGTTTCCTCAACCTGTAAGCATCAAAACACAGTTTTCGAACTTTTATGAAAATGCCGATGACATGAGCAGACCAGGACAGGTTATAGGTTAGGCTGACACCAAGGTACTTGATGGAGACCGATTTGGAGATGCTTTGACTATTAACTATGAGATCCGGGAGATTATTTATCAATGAAATATAACGAGGCCTGTTTTAAGACGAAATGAAACACCAATGCACTTATTTATGTTGAGTACAAGGGATCAGGGCACAGACAAATCGTGAAGTTCATTATGACCGTCCTGGAAACTATCTGAACTAGGGAAGGTGCAACCAATCACATCATCATCAGCAGAGTTGCAAGCTGAAAAGTTGTTTGGAATGAGGAGATTCTGTAAGTACATAAAAATGAAAGCTAGACAAAATTTCACTCCAAAAAATACCAGCATCAGTTTTAATTGAAGACGACTATACCATTAAATGAAGGATGAAGCAATCAATTAGAAAATTCAAATTCTCAGATGTCTGGTCACAGTTAGACATTCAATAAGCACTCTTCGGTGGAGAGAACCAAAGTTGTCTGCATAATCAAGCAAGGTCAAACGAGCGATGCGTGCACCTTTGTCTTGGACGGATGCAATCGTGAACAGCATTTGCAACAGCGTCTAGTGCGGATGAATGTGATTTATGGACAAACGAAAAGGTCATTGGAGTGAAATAAGGGTATTATGCAGCGCAGCAAAACATTTTCAAAAGCTTTCAGCAAAGAAGATATGCGGGTTTCGTGGTTAGTTGATTGCTCCGACCAGCGTTCGCTCACATTTCCGATATCCGTTCCAAAAAGAATAGAACCAAAGTTTGGGATTGTATAAACTTCGGAAATGTTGAAAGTGAGTTATTGATACTTTGTTTATTATTTTAGCAACGGCAGCGGAAATCTAAAAGTAGCTTTGATTAGAACACAACAGGAGTGCGATGCAAAGCTCACCGCGGGGAATTTTATCAGTGCGATCTTTTTGAGCTCATTAAAAGCACGATAATATTGAGAACAAAACCTAATTCAGGAAGTGTCCAAGTTGTGATACCTAACAAGGAACTTCTCGCTGGGTGATCACTGTCGCCAAATAATGGTGATACATGCCAAACCTTGACGATACACTCGATTGCGACCAATTGAGAAGAAGGCTCCTTATCTTGGAAGCCAAGTTCCTGTAATAATTGTGCGTGGTCAAAGGATTGAGTTGCTACCTGACATCTCAACTTTGTTTGTTCTGATAAGAAATCTACGGTAATGTAACCATGTCCTCATAGTCCTCAATTATACAGGATTGTGTGGAAACTGCTGCTAGTCACACCAGCGTTGGTTTGAGGTGCTTCTGTTTCGTGAGTTGATAATCACATCCAGCGTAAATGAATCTACCAGGAAATTTAGAGAAAAGCAGGAGGAAAAAAGAGAAAAGTGCCGTTTATCGATTTAAACCGACTATCCTTCGGACTTCAACTACACGCACAATCCTCAGTTCATCGATTCAATCACACTCGGAAACACTAGACTCGAGTTTTGCTCTAATTGGAGCTCATAAGTAGTGCATATCCGCCGTCCCGTCAGTGATTTGAACTCCGGACAGATCACATGGAAGGCGTGTGTGTTACCACTGTGCCAACCAGCTCATACCATGGCTGAACCGAATTGCCAATTCATGTTTTTTCCGAGTGTCGTCTTCAGTGATAGTCAGTTCATTTGGCCCGACAGCAACGAAGGGAGACAAATGACAATCTGTTGAATCGATGAACTGAAGATTGTACATCGAGGTGAAGTCCGAAGGACAGTCAGTTCAAATAAATAAATATCATTTATTTCACACGACTGCTCACAATTAACCGTGTCTTAAATGCGAAAACTGTCGGTTTGAGGACCGCTGCACAGATAATTGGACAGTCCTTTCTTTGGGATGGGGCTGATCTACAACAATCGAGGGTCGTTCCGGATGACAATCACGTACTGGACAATGTAACCATAGGTGCTGCAAGCTGATTGGGGAGAGCGGAACAGGCTTTGCATGCACAAAACAGATTCAAGTGGTGTGACGCGTGAATCAAATAACAAATGATGAAACCGTTACCCGAGATACAAATTGAAATCAGTCACGTGTGAGGTGACCGATAGTGATCGGTGAGACTCAAAAATGAAACGAAACACAATTTGCGATGAACAGCGGTTTTTGATAAACCAGAATCATACCTTCGCAACTTGCTTTAGGATGCTAATTTACGGATCAGTATTGAATTTTTATGAAACCGGTTATTTTCGGTGTGTTCGCACCGTTCGTCTGGGCAGGAGTGACTCGGTGGTAACGTCACCAAATTATCACCCCCGGGGATGTGTGTTCGAATCCCACCACCACCGCCTGACTTTCCCTATTTGTGTGTTGTATGGCAGCCCTCTGATTGGCCGCTTCCCCCTTCCTGAAAATTGTATCTTTGTATACTCAATAAAAGAAAGTAGAAGAAAAAGAAGATATTCGGTAATGGTGGTCGCCATCAAGTTCCGAATATCGGGAATAGTTATTATATACGTGTGTGTCGGTCCGTATCAAGCATGGGAAACAAACAGCTCGAATTGAGTGTTTCTCTGCTCATAATCCAGGGATTAGTTGGTGTTATGCACAACCAACTGTGTTCAAGCGGTGGAGCTTATATAATTGCTCCTGGTACCCTAACATTTGTCCTCCTTTTATCCAACATCTTACGACATTTATCACTGAGTTTTGACCATTGTAACTGCCTTTGATTATTACAACCAAAATGAACAGAAATTCAATCGAAATTGTGCTGTTCGCTGCTGGGGTAAAATCGACGCAATCTGAATATGTTCGTTGGTCTGGTGCGCACGCATTCTCACGAGTAACCTCAGCCGTATTTTGTGTGACGTGCATTTTAAAATTCGAAAATTTTTGTTTATGGTCAGCGTTATCCTGCATTAGCGATTACTAAATTTACATTTTACCGTCACCCTAAAATTCTCTTGTACGTTTAAGGTATGTAAACTTTATCTGAAGGTGTTTTTAGAGAGCACTTTTGCTTCAAATTACAATCTTGAAACTACGCCGACCGGTTCGCATCTGAGGTGCCTCTTGTGCTGATCTGGAGGTGTCGTGTATGTGCATCAAATTTGTATTTGTATAGACTTTTGCGAGAACAGAATGTTAGCCTTTCAGTAAAAATTTACACATCTCATCAATAGAAGGAAAGATGCAAGTAAAATATTTAGCCTTTAAGGTTACTGAGAAATTCTGAGGAAGC